GGCATAGAGTGACCATGACAGCTGAAGCAGAATAGGCAAAAAAAAAACAGAAAGAGACGAAAACAAGGACAATGCCCATAATTATGCTGGTTGTGGGTGTATGGTGTTGGGCTTCAGGTGACGCAACACTTCAATACGACACATTTCTTTTAATTAAAAGCTGGGGCAACAATCGGTACAGAAGAGCCATTTTAATTTCAAAAATTATTTGGACAATAAAAAATGACCAGTGAAACTGATCAACGTTTTACAACGTACGTAAGTTTTTTCTTCGATTTTTTTCAACAGTGAAAACAAAGGGATTACAACGGGTAAAAACAATAACATTCTTGCATGTTGAGCACAGTGCAGGGGGCAACGAATTAGTCACAGCACACGGAACATCGACCAACACGCACTAACGAGACAGTTCTGAAAGACAGAAACATAAACTATTTATTGAGTAGACACGAGAGAGGCATAAGCCTCTGATTTTTTTTGTAGCTTCATCAATGAAAAATACGCGTTGACTTAGTCACGGAAAACTATCTTTAACCATAAGAATGTTATAGAACGAAACAAGCGAAACTGTAACGTACCTGTGTTGATACATGGAACCAACAGCGCAGTTGCAGCGATTACGGTGTAGACGAGAATTGCGTGGAATATGACGCATCCATCACGACGAAGATTCCATCAAACGCAACAAGATGAGCAGCGAATGACAGCCGTAAAATAACGTAACATGGAAGATGCTTCATCCGCTCACTGTGATTTCTTTACACGACTGACGCAAAACTACAGAAAGCTTATCCATAACTGTACTGAACACAAACGGGATTGTTTCTTTCCAAGTTAGTCGGCAAATTTAATTGAAAATGGGAAGCTTGAGCAGAAAAATTGTAGTTTTTTTTCCAGTAATCAAATAATTTGTAGAGGCTAGCGAACTTCACTAACACTATAACATCTAAAGATGTGTTCTCGAACACTAGAACATCCACGATGTTTTCACTAACACTGTAGTATCGACATATGTGTTCACGAACATTCACAGATGATGCTCTCGCGAACACTAGAACATCTTCCGTTGATGCTATGCACTGATGTCGATGAAGTTGGCCGTCAACGAACGCCCTTTTATCACATTTATCAACAGATATTGTTAACAGATAAACCCCAAATCATATCTTTATTCGATAAGGTAGCACTCGTTTCTTATTACCGACACCGCGGTTACGCAAGGGACTTCATAGAGTTGTAGATATCCTTAAATTATTCGTTCATTCAAACACGAATGCTAATCAACAACAATTAACAAAACAACATAATAGTAGTAACAACAGTATTCGCCTTACTTATCTCGATGAGTAAAAAGATAACAGTGATAACTTATTAGCTCGTTATTTAAGAAGACGGATCAACAGCAGCATCACACGACCAAATACAAGAATAATAAGAGAAAAAGTCAACAATGAAAGCACAAAGTTTCACGTTTTCTTAGAGTTATTATATATACTAGAGAGCAGAAGCGTCAGGTCTCGAGATACAGGACTGGGCTCCTAGCACGACAATGAGGAGTTCATTCAACTCTCAACCTATGGGGATAATTTCGTCTGAGTTTTATGAGTTACCCCTTTAAAGTGCACTCAAAATACACACGAATATACACACAGAGAGGAAGGAGCGCAATCTGTGTGGTGGTATGAACGCGGTGGCGAACGACCGAGCGAGCGTTCAGAGATGTTGTGCTGCGGCCGGCGCTCGAACAACTGCTCTGTAACTGCCCCGTAACTGCACCAGTGGTGCACCGTCACTGCACCAGTGGTGCACCGCAACTGCACCAGTGGTGCTCCGTAACTGCACCAGTGGTGCACCGCAACTGCACCAGTGGTGCACCGTAACTGCACCCATGGTGCTCCGCAACTGCACCAGTGGTGCACCGCAACTGCACCCATGGTGCTCCGCAACTGCACCACTGGTGCTCGTAGCACCACTGGTGCAGCACCATAATGAACTCTATCACGGTAGCACCATAATTAACTCTACCGTTTAACCTCACCATTGCCGCACCACAGTTAGTTAATTAGTTTAGTGGCCAAATGTTTACTAGCGCTTCAGCTATTTAGCTATCTCGCACCGAAAGTCAAGATGAACATCACCATAGAGGTGGAAGGTCTCAATTATTCATCACCCACAAGGGGCGGAAGGTCTCATCGGGACGTCGGCCGCCCGCACGAGAGAGACAGAGAAGGGAAATGTAAGGAATCCTACCTACATAATAACTTAATGTAAGGAATCCTACCTACATGATAACTTAATGTAAGGAATCCTACCTACATAATAACTTAATGTAAGGAATCCTACCTACATAATAACTTAATGTAAGGAATCCTACCTACATAATAACTTAACCCCACAACTGAGACCTACAGTCAGACACCGTGAGCTCAACGGTGGGGCGCTCAGGAACAATCCCCCCCTAGGAACGCGAAATCCCATAGGACTTCTGACGATCACAGACACGCGTCAGAAGTCCCCCCTGAGGGGTTGCCGCACCACAACCACAACGATACACTGCATCCGTACGTGTGTTACACTGCAATCTTGGACAAATTTTCTCCCGAAGAGAAAATTTGTAAATTTTCTCTTGAATTTTCGGTTGAAAATTCAAGCTACTAGACGACTAACTTTTTAGACCGATGCTCGATTAACCGCCATTGCTATTCTTATCAGAATGCCTGATAACGTTACAATGCAGATCGTTCATGCAGCGCTCGAGAACCTGGGCTGAGTTTCCCAGCGCATGTAATTCATTCATGCGATCACATCATCATGCGTGATGTCCGGGGGTATAAATTGAAGTAAAATCTAAACACGGCAAATGAGTGGGTGTAAATTCATGTAAAAAAGTCCGGCAGTAGAGAATGTGCGGGAAAATTAAGAAAATAAAACTCGCAACGTACGAGTGTGTCGGTTTAAATTGGTGTAAAGACATCGATGAGTGTGTCGGTGATAATAGCGGCAAAAATACACCAGTTACAACCGAAATAATAAACGGCTAGTACTTCAGCCGCGAGTGCAGCACCCGCTGAGCGTACAAGAGTTTTGACTTTCATAATAACAACATCTTGTGGCTATTTGACACTCAGAAAAATTAATGGGGTATATAGTCCAAATAGTGACACTTTCATACCTACAGCAGGGAATGGAGCGGACGTAGCATTGATACACATTTTTTTTTGGGGGGGGGGGCCTTAATGAGTCAGAATTTTGTGCGGGGACAAAATAAGCATCGCAATTTGGACACCGTCTCACTTATTTCTCCGTGGGTGTGAATCGTTCAAAGCAGTTTCATCCAAACATCATTTCAAATAAAGGCCGATGCAATTTCGTGATGCTGTTTTTTTCAGGTTGAATGCTGCGTTCAGACTAATTCCCCTATAACTAGTACAAATTCAGAACGAATTAAACAAGGGGTAAATGCACTTTAGTTAAATGAATGAACTAAGAATGTGAAAATAAATAATGTGAATGTACACATGTACCACGAGAAAAAAGTAATACAAAATAATGAAATTGCATAAAGCATGCAAATGTGAACTATAAGACAGCTCGAGGCACGTTTGCTTCAAGGCGGTAAAGCTCAATACCAACACGATGAAGAGAAATACTCGAGTGAAATGCAACCTAAGTTAAAGAAAATAAATCAAACAGGGAGTAGAAGTTCGAAAAAGTGCATTCAACGCGGATGTGTAAAATTAAACCATCCTGAATCAAGATGAGTGACGGTGAGGGATGATGATAGTGAGTAAGGTGACGATGGTGGATGAATGATACACTGGCGGCTTGAATGAATGATCGTGGTGCAGGAGGTGGAGGGGGTGATCGTGGTGCAGGAGGTGGAGGGGGTGATCGTGGTGCAGGAGGTGGAGGGGGTGATCGTGGTGCAGGAGGTGGAGGGGGTGATCGTGGTGCAGGAGGTGGAGGGGGTGATCGTGGTGCAGGAGGTGGAGGGGGGTGATCGTGGTGCAGGAGGTGGAGGGGATCGATCCCTCCACCACGAGTGGAGTCATGGGCGGCAGCTCGCCTCCACACGCAGCGATCAATACAAAGGGCGGACGCACCATCGCCGACATCACTACCACGGCTGCACCACCACCACCACCACCGTAATTCTAGAGCACCATCTGCACCACAAGTGCCACCACCTCCACCACCACAACGCCACCAACATCGTGATAGCCGACACCTTCGCCACTACTCCACACCATGACAGCAATAATCTAGATTCATTACAGCGATAATTAAGATTCATTGCGATAATCTACATTCACTACAGCGATATCTAGATTCACTATACCATAGCGATAATCTAGATTCATTGCAGCGATAATCTAGATTCTAGATTTGGTGTTCTAGATACCACAAATAAACGCATTTGAGATCCCTAGTGCACTAAATGAAGTTATACCGTCCCAGATAGTGAACCTACTGTATTAAAAGAAACTAAATTTTCCGGACATCTACCTAACAAGTTTGCGTAGAGCTGCACTCAAAAAACCAAAATATCAGTTATTTTCTCAGCTATTATTGCCTAGCAAAGAAACATTGCAACATTAATGGAATTAATCTTAACCAAGGGCGTGCTTTGAACGTCTTCATAAATTCGATATTAATTGCTGCATTATGTAACTCTACGGAGATTGCGACCCGTGATACAGTATCTCCGATGCCACGTGTCATTATCGTTAATAACGTAAATAATTTTCTTAATGACATTTTTATTTTTTTTATTTATTAACAATTTATCATTATTATTTATAAGGTAAAATAAGATAAAATGTGAATTTGATGCGTACATAAAAATTAATTCATAAATCTATTAAGAAAGGCAATTGAGAATTAAGAAACAAATAACTAACGAAAATGTTCAGAGATGAGAAAATGGGAAATGGAAATGCAAGTGATACGAAAATGGAAATTGATGTGCGTAATATTTGATGATTTGAAGGGTAACTCACCTAAATACCGCACAGCGGGTAATGGCACCAGCAGAAATATCTGCAAAACATGAGTGGTTTTAATTTAAGTCGTCACGTAGGAAATATCAAACCAACGAAATATAATTGAAATCAAACCAACGAAGTCATTAACCATTCTAAAGAGTATGTAAAGTATGAAGTTATATCTTGCATCACTAGAGACAGGAAATATACATCACTCATAATATTAATAATTGATAATTGATCACTCAAGGCTGACAATTATCATGGTTCATTCGTGGCTAAGAAATAACATTGATCCATCGACGTTGAGACCTAATTCAGATCACTCACAAATGCTAAGCACTCGATAGAAATCCCTACCCACAAATTCGAAAGAAACGCTTATCAGGGCACTGTTTAATCCGATCAGTACACCTACTCAATGCGATGAAATAATTAGAACATCAAGTATTATAAATAATGATAATAATACTACAAAGTATTGTACTATTGACGATGATAGTATACTAGCAACAAATAGTATTGACGATGAGCTTCTAAAAAATTTTCAAGTCCGAATGATACTGAATTAATATTTTTATAATTTTTAATGGATATTTCATGCAATTGTGAATTAAATAAAAGTCATCAGTGTGAAACATTCTTAATAATTTAAAGTCGTATTATGCACGAGAAATTCGTCGCGATTCAAGAAAAATATAAGAAAAAGTGTCTTAGCTAATAGAGGAATATTATCTTGATTGAGAAAACCATTCAACTCAAAAATAAAAATAAATCCGCTTTCCTACAGGTCCTAAAACGTGGAATCTAAAAAAAACGAACGGCAATTCAACAAAAACAACGGAAATCTAAAAAAAAAACGAACGGCAATCTAACAAAAACGGACGGCAATCTAAAAAAACGGACGGCAATCTAACAAAAACGGACGGCAATCTAAAAAAACGGACGGCTATTTAACAAAAACGGACGGCAATCTAAAAAAAACCGACGGCAATCTGAAAAAATACGGACGGCTATTTAACAAAAACGGACGGCAATCTAACAAAAACGGACGGCAATCTTAAAAAGAAAAGCTACGGCACCGGACACCCGAGAATCCCGGAAGGTCCCAGAGGAGCTCGGCACGAAAGTAAGAGCGATCCTCGGCGTGGCGCAGAGATAAACAACAGGCGCAACACTGCGCCGCTAGCAGCACTCGCGCTAAACGGTGACGACAACTCGGCACCGGTGAGGGGCACGGAGAAACTCAACGGGAATGATATTGGAAAACGTAAAATTAACGTTACTTTTAGCGTCATTATGCTGAGAAAAACGTAACATCAACGGATTTTCTGCGTCATGATGCAGAAAAAAACGTTAAGTAAAATCAAGTTTTTTTTTGCGTCATGATGCTGAAAAAACGTAAAATCGAGTTTTTTTTTTGCGTCATGATGCTGAAAAAACGTATAATCAAGGTTTTTTTTTTGCGTCATGATGCTGAAAAAATATAACTCAGTACTCACTGCAGTGAGTGACAGAGAGCGCATTTTCTCGTCGATGAAAGCGTGAAGTCACAGACAGACGGACGGACGGACATGGCGAGCAAAATAGCGCCTTTTTTCCAAAAATCGGAAAATGCGCTAATTACGTAAAATAAACGTTGTTTTAGCGTCATGATGCTGAAAAAACTTTAATTCAACGTTCTTTCAGCATCATGATGCAGAAAGAACATTAGATCAACGTTGCTTTAACGTCAGATGCCTGGTAGGACCAGGCTTGGGTCGCAAAATACCTTGCATATGCCAACAATCGTCTCGTGGCACTAACACAAAAGTTAATTTTTTGCTCCCGTCGAACTTTCTGGCTTAGTGATGAGTTACTGAAACTATACAAACTTCGCCAAGTTGAAACATTTACATAAATGATGATGTCACAACAGAATGGTCAACACCAAATGTAAATCGACCAGAAAAATGCACGAAAATGTGTTTAGTAAACCAACATAATTGATGCAAATTCCGAATAGCCCCGTAACTGTCAAGTGCCGATGAAATCGATAACAGGCAAAAACTACCGGAAGCTCATTGCACTTCAAGTTTTTGAGCAATACGTTCCATTAAAGTCTAAATAATACAAAAAATTATAAAGTTCCTGGGAAGAATCCAAGTAATTAATCCCTGATTATAGCAAAAAAATACAGGAACTACAGAAGAGAAATCGAGAAGATATCAATAAGCTACTCAAGATGAAAGCGGTCCAATTACAAACACGCTGAGCCCTAACTGCTTGACAAACCTCATACAATCAGACGAATTATTGGCCATATTGTACAAATAGTAACACGCTTTCTTACCCACAGCACGAACAGAGAGAAAACGTAGCACTGATACGCATTTTTGGCCGGCCAAACTTGGATAGAATTATCCACCAGCGGGCAAAAAGTAGACCTCTATTTGGAGAAAGTCTCTTACATTTCTCTGAGTATAGCAAAGCTGAAACCCAGCAAAAAATTATCCGTAGCGCTCTAGCGGATATTGATCAGGAAATATGCTGCTATTACATTTACTCCTTCCGATGACGTGGCATGGGAAACGCCATAGACGAAATCAATTCCTCCTTACGATATAAACTAAAGGTTATCAGAAGAATATCATAATAAAAATGCGGCTACTTAAGACCAGATTTACTCAGCGGAGACAGCGGCGGCACCGGAGCAGTAGCGGCGACAACAAAGCAACTTTAAGCGCAGCACTTGAGAGCTCTAGCCACACGCGCCACACACTTGAGAGCTCTAGCCACACGCGCCAGCCACACTTGAGAGCTCTAGCCTCGCGCGCCAGCCACACTTGAGAGCTCTAGCCACACGCGCCAGCCACACTTGAGAGCTCTAGCCTCGGAGCCACACTTAAGAGCTCTAGCCACACTTGGAGCCACACTTGAGAGCTCTAGCCACACTTGGAGCCACACTTGAGAGCTCTAGCCACACTTGGAGCCACACTTGAGAGCTCTAGCCACACTCGGAGCCACACTTGAGAGCTCTAGCCACACTCGGAGCCACACTTGAGAGCTCTAGCCACACTCGGAGCCACACTTGAGAGCTCTAGCCACACTCTGAGCCACACTTGAGAGCTCTAGCCACACGCGGTCACATAACCACAGTTCGCTCGGAGCCGAATCGTTCCCCTTCATAAGCACGTACATACATTTTTTAATTAAATAATATTTGAACTTGATGGACAATTTTTAATTTGAGTTTGCAATAAAATAACATTTGATGTTTCTTTCGTTCTTTAGGCTTGTTGAGATGAGGTTTAATTGCGACTTGAATGAGTGCAGGGTCGGAAATGTGATCCACTGAACCGAAAGTTTTATAAAGTCATCGATTTTTTTTTGTGCACTTCAATACATTTTATAATAGTCAGCGATTTGTTCCTACAGTTCAAAAGCAATCTTGAGAAGCTAACGGCACATATATCATATTTATAAGCAATTTACACGGTACACAAATTATTACTAATCGTAATACAAAAATTTGTTGGTGACTCAGCACGCACGGTAGTACAGCACAGAGATTCACAGGAATGTCGGGAAATGCTTATCACAAAAAGCCGCCAGAAATTCGCTGGAGCCGCAAACAATTCTAGCATTTTGTGAGGAGCGACAGTAAATCAAGGCGGCAGCCGCCTGTGCTCCGCAATACGCGGCCCCACAAAACTCCATGCAAATGAAGGACATTATGGTGAAAAATAACACCGACGTCGCATACTCCAATCCGACACTCTAGGGAACGGTCCCTGCCGAGAGGAAGAGGCCAGTCCAAGAGGAGATAATTTCAAAGATATTTCATCGAGTCCTGGAGTTCTAAAAAAAGAGTAGGTACTTGTGCGAAGAGCCTCTTTGGAGCATCTTTATTGATTTATACCATTTACTCTCATAACTATTAATATATTTGTATTGATAGGAAGTACCGAAGCGATCAATAATGAGACTAAATGATATCAATCAATAAAAATGCATAAACGAAGAAGTAAGAAGCAGAATGCGTATGAACATGTTCTTTCAAACACTCAATCATATGGACGTCATTTACTAAACCACTCAATCTTCTGATAAAAAATCGCATTTTCTATATCGCCCACCGCATCTCATTGGTACCATATCGCATAACAGCCTGGGACCAACTCTAGACCAGCAGAACACCAGCGATCTCATACCACAACACCAACAGGCACACGAGCACGCACGGACACGCTCATCTTAGGATCACGCGAATTGTATTCAAATGCAATGAGCTCTCATTGTTCTACAGACCAGGGCCTATACTTTCAAAAAAAATAAGAGATCGTAAGTTCATCAGCCAATCATTGACGGCATTTCAAGCAAAATCCACCAATCATAGACAAGAAAATAGAGCGTAAATACTTACGTTCACTTAGCGAATTTTAAAAGTATTGGCCCCAGGATGAGCAGTTGTGGGTGCAGTGGATGATCTTAGTGTTCTCTACTTACGAAATATTTTATGTACACCTCCGCTGTCTAGTTTCGGCAACGCTCATCACTTGATACAGAATGAGAAGTATAATATTTTGTACATGGGACTAAACCCCTGTAATCTTCAGATACAACGTGTGCACTGTATTTGAACATCATTAATAATAATTTGAACATCGTGTAATAAAATTAAATTGACATATTTACAAAATTTGTACTCAGTACACTGATTCACTGCTGATGAAATGTTGCATTTGGAACACTAAGTAGGTGATGAGGTTCAGAGAGCGTGCAGAGGTACAGAGCAGGTAGAGGTCAAAAAGTGGGCTGGGCAGAGGTCACAATGCGGGCAGAGGTCACAATGCGGTCAGAGGTCATAATTTGGGCAGAGGTCACAATGCGGGCAGAGGTCATAATGTGGGCATGGGTCACAATGCGGGCAGAGGTCATAATGTGGGCAGAGGTCACAATGCGGGCAGAGGTCATAATGCGGGCAGAGGTCACAATGCGGGCAGAGGTCACAATGCGGGCAGAGGTCATAATGCGGGCAGAGGTCACAATGCGGGCAGAGGTCACAATGCGGGCAGAGGTCATAATGCGGGCAGAGGTCATAATCCACCCTAGAGCTTCATCCACCCACCCACGTAACACACATGCACTACATTTGACGTTGAATTGGCATAGGGACTACATCCCCAACAGACATCAAACGTTGAGACAACGTTGATTAAACGATATTTCAACGTAATCAGCTCGTAATTAACATTTTTTACAACCAACATCTGATGCCTGGACAGACAGGCAACGTGCCTCAGGCCGGGCAGCGCAGCAGGTCTTGTAATTGCACGAGGCGGCGACTATAGAAGAACCGCGGCGTCAGCGAAACTGCAGTGCCTGCTTGCTGTCACTCTAGAGGACGCGAGACTTTCTAGAAGATCTCTAGGACAACCGCCATGAAGGCGAGCTCTTCTAGGACGCCTCTAGAACACCCGCCATAGAGGCGCACTCATCTAGGATGTCTCTAGAACACCAGTCATAGAGGCGCGCTCATCTAGGACGCCTCTAGAACACCCTACATAATCACCTCTAGCAGGACGGCTTCACATCGATCTATCATGCCAGGCTTAGGAGGCCTGCGAGGTCCAGCGNTGGGGGCAGGCGAGGGGACTGGAGGCAGGCGAGGGGACTGAGGATCTGGCGAGGGGACTGGAAGGCCATGCAGGGAACTAGGGGGCCGGCCTGGGGATTGTGGGCAGATGAGGGGACTGGGAGACAGGCGAGGGGCGAAGGGACAGGTGAGGAGACGGGGGACAGGCTGAGGGACTAGGGCAATAGGCGAGGGGACTGAGGGACAGGCAATGGGACTGAGAGCCGAGGGGACATGCGAGGGAACTGGAGGAACAGGTGAGGAGACTGGGGTAACAGGCGGAATCGACTGGTAGAACAGACGAGAGGACTGGAGGACAGGCGAGGAGACAGAAGGGACAGACGAGGGGAAATGACCGATTATAAGAATGGGTAAAATGACCACACGTTCAAAAACTCGAAAAAAACTGCTGAACATCTTCATCGAAGATTTACGAGAGAAAACTTTAAATATTTACGAACATTCTGAGCAATCCGCAAGAAAAATTTCTCGCAACGGACAAGACCGAAGCCGATGCCGCGAAGAAGCCATAATCACTCATCGATTTAATTTTAATAAAGTTTTTCCTCTAAATTCCAAGTTAAAGGTACAGTCATAAATTTAGCGGCTTGCAGACACGAGGTGTTGCAGTCTAGGTCAGTGGGCGCTGCACGGCTGGTTTTCTGTGAGCTTCAATCGATACGCAGGGCTAACTGAACACGGGCAGTATGCACGGATATGCCTGAGCCACTACGGCCACACGGTGTCAGCCACTGCAGCGTGGTGGCCACACGGTGTCAGCCACTGCAGCGTGGCGGCCACACGGTGTCAGCCACTACGTGGTGGCCACACGGTGTCAGCCACTGCAGCGTGGTGGCCACACGATGTCAGCCACTGCAGCGTGGTGGCCACACGGTGTCAGCCACTGCAGCGCATCAAGTAACTCTATACCGCATTGTCTTTCGTTACATAACACACACTGAACGCCCGAAAACTTTACTATCGACACGTAAAAAAGGAAATCTCTGGAGTGTTGCACAAAGATAAGTAAAAATGTTGCCAATATAACCCAATATACTACTCCATAACTGAGCTCGCTCCATTACATCTATCAAATCATTCATTAAAGAGTGCGCGTTTAGTGTGTACTTCATTTCACACAATAAGTATCGCTTGAAGTGTCGACTGCATGAATAGAAAATTTCTAAACGCGATTAATGGTACGAGAGCTCAGAACGCGATTAATGGTACGAGAGCTCAGAGCAACATGAACTTGGTGCCACTAAAACCATGAAGTGTTATAGCTTCTCCAAGTAACGGCGTGATATAAATCATAGTAAGTTTTCAACAAAACAATACTAAGCAGAAAAGAAAATACCTGATGAACGCTTAAGAAGGCAAGTAAATACACACGTATCTAGAATGCATGTGAATTAGACTTACAACGCCACTGGTATGAAGTCCAATGGTCTTTTCACTAAAAAAAAACAAGTATACACGTCATGAAGAGATAGGCGAGAAAAGCACACGGTGTTTATGATTAGTCTTTTTACTGAAACAAGTGTGCGGGTTTTGTGATGCCTAAAAACAAAGCTTGCACTTACCAGCAATCGAGATAACGGAGCAGCTTATCAGCAGTAATAGATAGTAGCGGCCGGCACTCTTCTCACCAATAAACGATAACCTGCACAAGAATCACGATAACCGTTATAATTTTCATACAGCAACAACCAAGCATCGCTTACAATTGATTTCAATAACAAGATTAACGGAGTTTACCTAAATACGAGCATTTTTTCTTTTTTTTGCCTCATAATTTCAGACTTTCTCAAGTACTTTATACATCAAATGTGAAAATAAATCAATATATTATATTTAGTGAATTATTTCATCTAGAAAATAATCATTTCCAAGTAATTTCAATGATTGAAAAGAAGCATGGCAGTAAATATCTTTATAATATCACTGAGAACAACTACAATGATCTATGAAGCTTGTACGTAAAATTGCATCACTAATATATGATCGAGCGATAATTTAACAAAGGCGCATTTGGAATAAAATTGAACTTAACCTATCACGATTTGAGGACATACCAAAAATAATTATAAGTACCTATACTTATTTTGTATTCAATCGTTGAAATTCGATTACATAATTTTCCTTAAACGATATCCCAACGAAGTGCCGATGATAAGCACTTTTCGTGACAAACATTTCGGTGAAGAACGTGACGACTAACACGAACGATGCGAACGTATATATATAACAAACGTGACGTCAAACAACATATACCGTAACGTCAAACACAACCAATGTACACGTCACGCACCAGCCACGTTTACGTCACATTACAACCTCAGTTATGATAATTAACCCTTACTGATATCAACGAAGTTCCGAGCTCAATAAGAATTAAATGACCTCTCACGTACTGTCTGACATCAAACCGTCTTCAACGTGCTGTATTTATTCACAACCTGCAGTCTAGAATAAATTTCATTGCTTTCTAACAGGCATTTTCAGTATGTAATTAGGCCGAGAATTTTTGTAAGCAATGCAGGGCCCCTATAAAAATATTTTAATAAAATACAAACTAATAAGGTGACATATCTCGCCGAATTTAGGAAAAAAAAAACAATATAGTCGCTAGAACTTTGCTTTAGATCAAAATAAACAGCAGCTAAAGCAAAAAATACACTATAACATCAGCTTGATGCTTCTTTTAAATTTTTTGTTATTAAAAAAGCATTATTTATCACAATGCCAACCCAAGTCTCTTCAGATGCAAGCAAAAACAGCGGCGCGATAGACAAACATTTTCAATTTATGATTATGTATTATGTACTAGCTTCGATCGGTTATTTTTATATATTTTATGTGATTTCTAAACTGAAAATGGACATTTTTGTACAAAAAATTTCAATCTTAGAACATTATCACACTTTCATTTCTTGCAAGACTACTCGCCTTGCTTCTCCTCCAATCTAACTTATAATTATAAAAAAAGTCGCACTCTAATAATGATACACGGAAACGTGTGTTGCAGAATCTTTTATAATCTGACTACAGAATTTCACCTGCAGCTGTGTCTCCCAAGGATAGTAGCGCTACTGAGAACCTCAGGCAGGTCAGTAGGTATTACCACACTCGCTGAACCTTGTCTAACGTCTCCCAAGGGTAGTAAACGTTACTGAGGATATATCAAGGATATACTGAGAACCTCAGGAAGGTCAGTAGGTATTACCACACTCGCTGAACCTTGTCTAACGTCTCCCAAGGGTAGTAAACGCTACTGAGGATATATCAAGGATATACTGAGAACCTCAGGAAGGTCAGTAAGTATTACCACACTCGCTGAACCTTGCCTAATCATGCGCTGTCGTGTAATGCACGTGACGAGGGTTAACAAGTTCGATTTTTCACTCAGCGCGACAGTAAATAATACCAATGAATCGGTTAATGCTTATGCAACTTAAATCAATTATTGAATTGAACTTAGAGCTAGTGGAGAAGCATTAGTGCAACTAGCATCAGCATCTCGCACGTCTGACGTCATGCATCATTCCATAACATTAAACACGTGACGTGCGAGAAGCTCAAGTGCCAGCAGCGTCAGCATCACGCACGTACTGACGTCATGCATCATTCCATAACATTAAACACGTGACGTGCGAGAAGCTCAAGTGCCAGCAGCGTCAGCACCACGCACGTCTGACGTCATGCATCATTCCATAACATTAAACAAGTGACGTGCGAGAAGCTCAAGTGCCAGCAGCGTCAGCATCACGCACGTCTGACGTCATGCATCAGCAGATAGCTGCTTGCATTAATAGCTGACACGATGTTTAGATTCAAATCTCCCTTAATTATTTAACTGACTAACAAATCATTTGATTCTCAACTGCTCCAATAATTTGATCCACCATTAGTAATTTGGATAACTTGAGTAAACACTTACCCAATAATTTGCATCCACAATTACCCAATCATTGGACTTGCCATTTACTCAGCATCATGACTCACCACTTGCCCCGTCAGTTGGGTGTTAAGCAAGCCCATGCAGAACCTTAATATAGAATAACCAAATAACTGTACAAAATAGAGCTATTGCTATCTAATAACCTAGTGCATTGCAATAGTTTAATACAACAAAATTAGCGGAAGAATCAACACGGCGTCATTTTTACAAGACTTCTACTTCGAAAAATACACGAAGCAAAAATTCGAAATGCTAAAAAAATCTACCAAATATGGTTCAAACAACAATCATCCAATGGGATTATCGAAGAATGCGAGCCAAAATCCCGCAATTCAAACGAGAAACGATCGAAGAAAGCGAGAGCAAACATCGTAATTAAAACGATCGTTATTCTGAGAAGCAATCGAGGAAAGCGTACATCAGCATTCAAAAGGCAGCTCGTGCACGTGACCGCGCTCTTTGATGCAGGTACGGACGGACTTACTCTGCCTCATCCATCAGTTATGAGGCCTACTTATGCATAAATTTTACAGTACACAGGTGTATACTATTATAGTACGGCCGTTACTTCAGGTCACAGACACGGCCGTTACTGCAGGTCACAGACACGGCCGTTACTTCAGGTCAAGGCCGTTACTGCAGGTCACAGACACGACCGTTACTTCAGGTCACAGACACGACCGTTACTGCAGGTCACAGACACGGCCGTTACTGCAGGTCACAGACACGGCCGTTACTGCAGGTCACATACACGGCCGTTACTGCAGGTAAACGGTTAAAAAAACTAAAAACGTTAGCTGAAATTCCTGTCTTCATGAATGACAATAAATAAATAAATAAAATAATGGGTATTAGAGCCGAGCGCTGACATTTATTCATGTGTGTTCTGCTGAAGTCCAGCAGAACACACAAATATTACAATTTCAACAGATTATGAGATAAATCGTAAAAGGGCATTTACAGCATGCAGAAAAATGCACTATGATTTGTAAATAGGCATTCATAGTCGTTAAATGGCCTTTACAACATGCAGTGAAATTCAATCAGAATTGTAAATAGACATCAATAGTCGTAAAAAGGCTCGTACGACATGCAGTGAAAAGCACTCTGATTTGTAAATAGACTTCTGATTTGTAAAGACATCATCCTATTACTTCCAGTAGAACGCGCTGGGCTTGTAAATATACTCTAACAGTGGCCCAGCGGTTCCTACCGCATAATAGACACACTGATGAGTTAGCAAAATTCGAATAATCACAATCTGGTTCCTACCGCTTACACCAAAACGCAATCGGATATAAAAAGTATTTTTTACACAGAGGCAATCCCGGAATTTCAAAGTCTATCCTCGAGAAGATGCTGCAGGAATGTTAATCAACTTCGGTATTTCCGCGAACATCAAGTCAGCTCACATACTGAGAGTTACGCGGCTGTTTTCAATAGAACTGAACTGTGCCGCACAAATATCTTGTGTTTCAACGGCCTGCTCAGTCTCAGAAACAATGCATTTTTCCAGTCAACCATAGACGCGTCACCCTCTACACCGACACGCCTATAGTAACTTGAGCCTTCGGAAGAGACTGTAATTCCCTTCTTTTGTGTGGAACAGCTTCAATGGAAATTCCATCCGGCTGGCATTGTGGGTACAAAGTGTCGGTTCCAGAGCAATGGGTAAATGCATATCAAGTTCGGACTCATAAGGACTAAGTTAACTCAATTGTAAATGCGAGTACTTCATTGGCCCAGCAAATGGAAGCGGTCGTCACTTCTTATTAACTTTCGATGTGCAGCTTACCAATGTGGTTCGGCTTTGGGGTATCAACTTAAAATGTCTTACTTTCTAATGTACATGCATCAAGGTCAAATTAAACCAGTTCAGTTTTGATATATGGCATACGCATTTTTAGGCGCATGCGGGAGAACTAGTTAGTGCAGATGAATTTTTCGCTAGCTACAGAATTATTTGGTCGAATTATTGATAGTTATATTAAGTGCCTTTTTGATTAATTTAAAGTACCTATACTTGAAACATTTTTTAATGCAGCCAACATATAGCTGAAAGTGCTTGGAACATCTCTCCACAGGAGACACAAGCCATATTATACGATAAGCACCCCTCCAAGCAAGCGAGGTTGAAACAATGTCGACAACGAGTTAATTACGTTAAAATAACGTTTAATCAACGTTATTTTGACGTCAGATGCCTGCTGTGCCAGCGCTACTCGTGAAGGTCGAGTTTCGCCTCAAGAGCGGCACGGTTGACCCGAGACATCGTGTGCAGTCACCGGCGCTGTGCTTTGTTTACGTCGTCCGGTCCAAGCATAGGACTTGCCGCGCTGCCCAGCCTGGCAGCCAGAGGTTATAGACGTCACAAGTTTATAACTCAAACAAATTACAGTAGCTCTCATATTGCCACCTAAGCAATAAATGAGAACAAATGCTGTGGACGTACTATCAAAAATTGTAACGAGATCATAACTCCGTCAGCCGTTTTGAACTAAATCCATTGTTGAATTCTTGGTTCTCAACTGCACTTCTCTTATATATTTCGTATGCCTGATGCATGCGTGTCACTGAAATTTTACTTTAGTTCGATTTTAAAAGCATCTATAGTTTCAGTTGCGTTGTTGGCTCTAGACTGAACAGAAGGAAATGTTGGGGACGTGTGTTTTAATTCTGAAGATCCGTGTAACGTGTATATT